TGGCCAGCTCAGCCCACCAGGGGGCGAGGCTGGCTGGCATGTGGTGCTGGGGGATTGAACCGCGGTCCCTGTGCTTTGCTAAGCTTGTTTTAAGTAGGTGCTTTAGATCGCTGAGCCATCTCACCAGCCCTATCACTCACATTTTATAGACAAAGGCAACCCTTGTCACTTGTCCAAGCTGTCTGGCTCTGTGGTTTGATCCCCTATCTTGCCTCCCTGATTCTGTGCTTTTCACAGGAGACTTCAGGGAAAGGATGACGGAGGAAGGGGAGATGGAGTAAGGCAGCAGGAGCCCCCAGACCTAAGCAATCTCACTTGGGCGTGGTGGTGCATGCCTGTAATCCTGGCACTCAGGAGGCTGGGGCAGCAAGTCCAAGGCCAATCTGAACCCTATCTCAACAGAAATAAAACAACAAGCAAGCAACCTGAAAGGGCACATGAAGGACATTTACTCAGCTAATCATTAACCTTTTCTTCCATACGTAACCTTCCCCTAAACCCAAGGAAAAGGTACCTGTGACGGGGTCCTCCGAGACCCCAACCCATGGTGCAAAGTATCTTGAGTAGAAGTCAAATGCCTGGGCATGCCCAGAAGGCTCTCCTCTGAGGGTGAGAATGAGTCCTTTCACCTTCCCCGTGTTCTCTACTTGGGTCAGGGTCCCCGTGGTCACTTGGAGGGTCTCTAGAAATGACCTGGTTCAGAAAGAGGGTGGACTGGGTTACAGTGCTTCAGCCCACAGATGAGAGCCTAGAGATGAGAAGGACAGCCACGCTGCTCCTTGAGGGGAAAACCTCACTGCCTCAGTTCTCTGCTGGCCACTCAGTTGACCAAGCCGGAGATGAGACAGGGCATGGCCTCCCCACCAAGCTGAGCACTCACCTGTCATAGGAATCGCTGAGCCGGACGAGGAGGTTCTGAGTATCCTGAGAATAGTGGATGTCCTGGACCAGAGTGTTGCCTATGGCTGCCTGTGTTGCAGAACCACAACTCATTCAGAGCACGCTGGTTAGGCCCTGGAGCCCCTCAGATGGGTGAGCTCGCACAAGGCAGCCCCCACTGTTCTTTGTGTGCCGGGCCAGACTCATTCCCAGATGTCCGGTTTCTTGGCCACCAAACAGAGTCTGTCCCAATGCCACATGGCTTCTGCTCACAAATACTCAATACACACCACCGTCACAGGTCTCTCACGCACACACACACACACACACACACACACACACACACACACACACACTCTCCTAGGCCCAGTTCTAGGAGGCCCTGGAGTCAAAGCTCGCAATTCCTACCATTAATGGTCTCTGCGGGTATGGGCCTCATGCCCATCTCTTGGCAACACTGTGAGGAGCACAGGAAGTAAAAACTACAACTGCTTCTAGAACATTCCACATGCCAGGATTCATGACTGGCAGTGTGACAGGAAGCAAGGCAAACGGCAAGCCCACTCTCTTGGATTGTGTGTTATAGATCAAGGACGTGACACTTTCTCAAGATAACACTTTCAATATAATTCTATCAAAGACTGTGTACAGTCAGTCAATTGGGCCCACAATCAAGAATGCTGTTTGTGTGTTTGTTGACGGCTTGGGTACCAAGGGAGCCTCTGAGGGGAAAGTCCCCTCCAGGTCATCCTCTGGCACTGCCTCACCACCAGGCAGAGATGACTACAAGGCAGTCATGCCACCTAACCAGCTCCTGAGAAGGCTTGGTGCATGAATTCCCATAGCCTATCCTCCCCCTGCCTTGGTTGAAACCGGGGCTTTATACCTATGACCACGAGCTGTCCAATGTTACCTTTCCAAGAACTGGAGATGCTTACAGCCAGATCCTATCTGCTCTGTGGCGACTTGCAGTCTCTGATCCAAAGAGACCGAAAGGGTTCATTTGTTATTTTGAAAGCTTATTTCTCCATTGGAAATCTTCTCTGTGTTTGTGTGTGTGTGTGTGTGTGTGTGTGTGTGTGTAGGTTACCAGGGATTGAACTCGGGACCTTGTGCATGTCAGTTAGGCACCAATGCCACTGAGCTGTCTCCCCAGCTTGGCACTGAAAATCTTAATACCAGTCTCTAGGGAGCAAGACAACATAACAACAGTTCTGATAAATGACCCTTATTATGTCATTTTGCAAATGCTGACCCTGAGGCTTGAAGAAAGTAGGTTAAGTTCTATCCCAAAGTTCACTGTTATTAATATAGTCTGCCTGTTCTTAGCTTTTTGGCTAAGAGTAAAAGTATTTTCCATGTTCTTATCAAGGTGCTTAAAGCAGTTTGTTCACAAATTTGGCTCTGAAACTCAAGTTATGAGTGGACCTAGCTGCAAAATCAGAATACACTTATGTTCTCTGACAATGTATAAAAAGCTAAGCACTGGGCTGGTGAGATGGCTCAGTGGTCTAAAGCACCTACTTAGAACAAGCTTAGCAAAGCACAGGGACCGCGGTTCAATCCCCCAGCACCACATGCCAGCCAGCCCTGCCCCCTGGTGGGCTGAGCTGGCCATACACACACACACACACACACACACACACACACACACACACACACAAATAAAATAAAATAAAAAAAAGCTAAGCACTAAAGATATCATAAATACCGTAGCTGAAAATTCACTGAGCAACTGCATGGAGCCACAGGGCCCACTATATCAATCTGCTTTTGCTCCTTGAAGCCCCAACCTGGGCCCTTCCTTCTCTGTATACTGCATCTGGGTGCCCGGGGCTGCTCTGTTCTCCAGGCCCAGCATGGGACAAGTCAGTAGCACCTGCCTCACTGGGAATTGTTTGTGTCTAGGTGTCTTCCCAAAGCCTCATATGATCTTGGGGTGGCTTCTAGAGTCTGTGATTAATTCATGATCCAAAGCTGGGATTATGGGTGTGAGTGTCACACCCACCCTGGGGCAGATAATCTGCATACAATGTAAGGAAGGGAGAGAGGCTTGCTGGCAGCAGGCACTGCTGCTCCTCCCTTTGCTCTTTGCTGTTTTCAACTACCAGGAACGGCTGCCCTCTGCCATGTGCCATCTGCCTTGGAGCCAGCTGAGTATGGACCGAAACCTCCACTAACTGTGAGCTTAACCTTTCCTTCCTTAATTTTGAGTGTCGGGTATTTTGTCCCAGCAATGAAAGAAGAGTAAGACACTGGGTGACACTGAGAATTAAACAGGATAACACGAGTGACATGCTACTGGATGGAGGAGACTCTTAGAATGTCTCTATACTATAAGTTTTTCTTGAGACAGGGTCTCACTGGGTATGTAGCTCAAGCTGGCCTTGAACTCACTATGTAGCTGAGGCTGGCCTTGAAGTGATCTTCCTGCCACAGCCTCCCCCCAGGTGCTGGGACCAACCACAGGTACATCACACATCCAGCCTTCTTATCACTATTGTTAAAAGCCATAGCCACACAGGCCCCCAGAGGCAGGCCAGGTCTCCCATCTTCCTGGGTAGTCCTCACACACAGTCCTCACCCCTCCCCAATCCTCTGCTGCAGCCTAGGGTCCCCTGTGGCAACCAGCCAGTCTCCATCTTCCCCCAACTCTGTGCAAATTTCAAGAAGAAAGTTTTTTTGACAGAAATCCTCAGCTCTCCCCACTGCAGCTGCTGGGTTATGCCTGGGCGGTCCTCTTCACTACCTGGAAATGGACAGTCAGCCAGCACCACTCTTTCACCTGCGGCTGGTCTGTGAAGACGCCATTCTGCTCTCTTCCTTCCAGCCCCCCTCATGGCCTCTTTTACCCCAAAGTACCAAAGAGAATCACATGCATTTGTCTTTCTTTGTGGTGCAGGGGATGGCATTCTACATGGAGCTGGATCCCTAGCCTGCTGCTGAGGCATGAACGACAAGGAAAAGCGTCAACATTCTCACCAAATAGACTGGATGTTAAAATTAATAGCTGAAGAACCAGCCAAATAGCTCAGCAGATTAAAGTGTCTGCAAGCAGGCGCAGGGGCCAGGGGTTCGATTCCCAGGCCTGCTGTGCTGGCCCCACCGCTCGGGTGTTCTAAGAGAGCAATTGAGACTGGGCGTGGTGGCACACGCCTGTAATCCCAACTCTTGGGAGGCTGTAAACAGGTAGATCACTACGAGTCTGATCTAGTAGTGCGACCCTGAACACCCTGTAGACCATTCCCTAAAATACAAAAAATAAAATAAAATTCATAGCTGAAACCCCTGTGCAGCATTTGCCCCAACAGTGGTTGGAACATGGACAGTGGGAGGTGGTTTATCTTTGGGGTGTAAATCACATCAAACCTTTCTTGTTCACACAGAAGGAAGACCACATCCTATAGGCTCAAGTTTGAATCTTTTCACCAACCTTTATCAAGTCCTCCACATCATGGAAGTCCTAGAAAGGGAAAAAGAAGCAAATCGGTGTAAAACAACAAGTAGTCGGCTGCACCCAGCCAGGGCAATCACGAGGGAGAGCTGACCTGTGGCTGCGTAGTGTAGAGGGGCAGGTCCAGGGTGATCCCATCTTCAGCTCTTCTGGCCTTCAGCTCTCCACTCAGGGTGGCAAAGGTGAGAGTACTGTTCTTGTTTTCTGTCCCGGGTGGAAAGAGAAGCTTGGTGACATGTGCATGTCTGTTCAGTCACCTTGGTGTTTCCTTGGGATGTTCTGACAGTGCTTTCTTCCGTGATGGGGGTCCTGCTTTGGGTTTTGGGGTCTAAAGTGGAGAAAAACCCTGGCTAGATTCTCACTTGGAGCCTAAGGACACCTGGCCGGCCTGGTGCTGCACTGGAAGCTTCTGAACCTCAGCTCCAGCTGCTCAGCCCCTACCCTGTGCCTTCACCGAGCTCCTCCCCCCTCAGGCCTTCCCCTTCATACATGAGGTTGTTAACTAAACCTACCTTGTACAACTATTGATGTGTTTTCTAAGCAGCCTTTTAAGGATCTACTAACAGGAGCTAGAGTTACAAACTCCATCAGTGCAAGACATGTCCAGGGGATGAGGACACATGTGGTTTCTGGACAACAGTCTTGTGTGAAATAAATCAGATTTCTCTTGAGTAAGCCAAGCTACATGTAAGAATTTGATTTAAATTCCACACAGGCTGATTTAATATCCTTCCATGCAACAGATACACCTTTGACCACTTATCTGACCTCAGTATGTATAACTTTTTTAGTGAAAACACCAATATGTAAACTAAACTTTTATTCTCCCTTCATGTTTCTGTAAAACACTCTTCAAAGAATGATTGTCATCAATAAATCAAACAATGAGAAGTTCTGGAGAGGCTATGGGAACAAAGGAGCCTTCTCCATTCATTGCTTGTGGGAGCATAGACTAGCACAGTCACCAGGAAAACCAGGGTGGAGATTCCTCACAAAACTAAAAATAGAAATTCAATTTGATTTAACTATTTTCCTTCTAAGTATCTTCCTAAGAGTTCAAGATGTCATATTACAAGGACATGTGCATTCCCATGTTTACAGTGGCACAACTAAATAGCTAGTTTGTGGACGTGGCCTCCATATCCATCCACAGAAGGGGAAAGGAAAGTAAATTAAGATGTGTCAACTACAGGGCCCAACGCCCCACAAGGAAGGCCATCCTGCTGTACTGTGATCTTGCACTAGCAAAAATTCAAATTTAAAAAGTTTTCAAATAGAATTCTCTAATATTTTCTACTCCTAAGTGATGAATTTGTTAAAGAGATTCATCTTACTGATTTTGTAGAACAGCACGGCCGCAGAAGCCAGGGTGGCATGGCCGCAGAGAGGAATCTCACTTGCCGGTGTGAACCACCTCAGGCCAAAGCAGGAACCTTGGTGGGAAAAGCCAAAGAGAGACCTGGTCACTCTGTGCAGGTGGGCTGCAACATCCCATTTGCTTCTCTTCCCTAAATATTGTCTTTCTGTAGCACAATTAGCACTAAAACATGATGGGAAGGGGAATGTGCAGGACAGACAAGGACCCCATGGTCCCTGGCACTTGGTCCGCAGCTGAAGTCTGAGGTCTGTCAACACCCTCTGAATCCATTTTACATAGCTCTAACAACACACTGTAGACAGCGTCACTGGTGAAGAAGAGAAATTTAACTGAATATGTGATGCATGACTATAATCCCTGCACTCAGGAGGCGGAGGCAGGAGTTGAATCCACATCAAGACACTGTCTCAGAAACCAATCAAAAAAAAAAAAAAAAAAAGGAGAAGGAGAAGGAGGAGGAGAGGAGGAGAAGGAGAAGCAGAAGGAGGAGGAGAAGGAAAAGAAGGAGGAGAAGAAGAGAAAGGAGAACAAGGAGGGCACTTTCATGCCTGAGCAGGTGAGCAAGAAACTCACTTCTATAAGAAACCCACTCTTGAGCCAACAAACTCACTTCCAGAATAATGACATAAAGCTAAGGCCTCATTGGTCCCCTACTTCCCAGCTCTGTGCACTGGGATTAAGTTTCCAACACCTGAATAGGGAGAGGAATCTAAACCACTCACGGGGCCAGGGAGATGGCTCAGTGGAATAAGCGCTTCCCTGGCAAGCGCAAGGGCCTGAGTTCAATCCCTGGTTCCATAAATAAATAAATAAATAAATAAATAAATAAAATAAAAAATAAACCACTCACACTTCTCCCCTGACACACTGAACCCCACTCCACCTACTACCTGGGTACAAATAATAAAGGAGCCTTTGGCGTAAGAATCACCTCCACTAAAAGATAACTTCCAGGGCCACTCAAGACAGTAAAACAAACACATATTTACTTTGTGTAAAGTTGTCTGTTGGGTGCAGTTTTCGGACAAAAGCAGTTTCAGAGAGATTCATTTCCTTCGCAATGTTTTGATACATGTCTTCATCCAATTCCTTAAATGGAAACAAAAGGTTATTGAGACAAAAGAAACACAGTTCAGACTTCCTTGGGTAGAAACTGTTACCTAATGGTAACAGCAATTCATTAATACTCAAGGCTATATGCTCAAATCATGTGGTGGTACATATCTGTAACCCCAGCAGTAGGGAGGCTGAGGCATGAGGATTGCAATTTCAAGGCCAACCTGGACAACCTGAGAAGATACTGTCCCAAAATAAAAATTTTAAATGGGCTGTGAATATAGCTCAGGAGTGAAGTCTTTCCCTAGCATGCATGAGGCCTTAGGTTTGATCCCAACATCAGAAAAAAAAGGAGAAGGGAGAAGAGTCAGCTCACAGCCATATAGTAGCATGCCTATAGTCCCAGAGCCTTGGGAGGCTCAGGTAGGAGGTTCCCTTGAGCCCAGGAGTTTGAGGTCAGCCTAAAGAACAGCAAAACCCATGTTGGGACAAGAGTTTGTTTTGTTTTTTTGAGACCAGATCTCTCTTTGTAGAACTCAAGGCTGGCCTTGAGCTTACTATATATAGCTCAGGTATATAAACTTAAACTTGCAGTGATCCTCCTGTCTCAGCTTCCCATGTGTTGGGATCACAGGCATAGACCACAACAGGCACCAGTAGGTCTTAAGTCTTCTCTACCTTGATACATGACATCAATTGCAGTCTGAAACTCTGTCCTAAGATATTTCACTTATTTATTTATTTATTTATTTATTTATTTATTTATTTATTTATTGTACTAGAGATTGAATCTAGGAATGTTCTACCACTGAGCTACTTCCCCAGCTGTTTTTTTGTTTTGTTCTGTTTTTGTTTTTGTTTTTGTGGAACCGGGGATTGAACTCAGGCCCTTGCGCTTGCCAGGGAAGAGCTTATTCTACTGAGCCATCTCCCCGGCCCCTCCCCAGCTGTTTTTATATTTTGTTTTTGAGGCAGGATCTCACTAAATCACTAAGATGCCCAAGATGGGTTGAACTTGTGATCCTCTTTGCCATAGTCTCCCCAAGGATTACAGGTGTGCCACCACACTTGGATCCCACAACACTTTACCATGCACCTTTTGTTTGCTTGAGAGACCAAAGACTACAGAAAGTTGGAGAGCAGCCATACTGGATAGATACCACAGGCCACTAGACTTGCATTGAATTTCTACCCTGGAGCCAAACATCAAGACAATGTTGAATCTTAAGAAGGCTTCAAGTCTGAAAGTCTTAGAAACATTGAATATACTGAATGTTGGGGCTGGAGATATGGCCCAGTGATACACCATCTGGCTCCAAACTCAATCTCTAACCTCAAGAAAAAAACAAAACCAAAAGCAAGTTGAATGTTTGTTCCACTATTTTTTTCCATTTGCTACTATAAGCCTATTCAAATGCTGCACTCACTCCCCGAGCAGGGGTGGGGCTCAGTGGTAAAGGCTGCTTAGCAAGTGTAAGGCCCAGGACACGCACAGGCACGCACACATGCACACAGTACTACAAATTGACAGCTATCAACCCTCTCACTTTTTTTCTTTTTTAAAAATCTTCCCGCTGTCATATCCATTTCCCTGTGGCATTTTCACACCAATCAAACCTGTGGCAACCAACACAGAGCGATGTCTGCTCTTCTCGCCACTGTGTCCAACTGCTGTTGGCATGGGGATGCCGAGGCCCTACCACCTTTTGACCCACAGAATTAATGATCAGAAAATTGGAGTAAACTTTTAAAATACTCCCATCTTGTGGCAGTTTGGGGTACGGCAGCCCAACCTGCCAGGCCTGTGCTCCTCCGCTCTGTTAGACCCCAGTAAAAGCAGCTGGGTGCAGGAAGTTCTAACCACACAGGAAAGAGCACACTGATCCCCACAGAGAAGCTTGGAGCCTGGGCTGCCTTCACTGTGGCTAGTGCTTTTTTGTTTGTTTGTTTGTTTGTTTGTTTGTTGCGGTACCTGGGATTGAATTTAGGAGACTTCGCTTACCTGGCAAGCATTTATTCTACTGAGCTATCTCCCAGCCCAATGGCTACAGTTCTGATGGATGCCCGCCCTCTGCAGCTCCCATTCCTTTGTAAACCCTACTTGCCCCACCCCAGTTGACAGGAACAGAAAACTAGGAGTGGCTGGTTCACAGGAACTCCAGAGGAGGTTTTGCTAGAATGCAGCTGGTCATGGTTACCTCACTCCGCACATCTGCACCCATCCTGTGTGCTGGGTGTTACAACCTGTGCAACTGATTCCAGTTTTGTAACTCTGTATGTTTCCACTGTAACTTTATTAACAAAGACTATTTGGTATAAGCTGACAACTTAAACTCTATCTTATAACAAGCTTTGTAACTTCTGTTTTGTAAAACCTTGATTTGTTTTGTAAACCCCGCATCCATCCCTTCCTTGAAGAATATGACTGTACAAATAAGAAAGTGTTTTTCAACATTCTGAGAGAAGATAAAAAAATGTTCCTCAACATTCTGCAAAATGAGTTAAACTGTCCTTCCCACGGGAATAAACAGAATGCCTGAAAATGGGTGAAACTGTCATCAGATGTCCTTCCAACTACCGGAACAAAAACAACGTCTAAGCTAAATAAGGACATATTCCTGTAAGGTTTGCAAAATGTGACCTCGTCTATGGGAACAAAGAGTTAACCATGGGTCATGACTAACTCAAAATAAGCTTTGTAAAATCCCTCCTCCTCCTCCTCCTCCTCCTCCTCCTCCTCTTGTGGTTTTTCCCTTTAAACACTGTGCCTCACCTAGACTAAGTGTGCATATACTTGGAGACGTGAGTACGTGCCGCTGCTGAGCTCAGCTAAATAAAGCACTTTTAGGGGCCGAGGAGATGGCTCAGTGGAATAAGCGCTTCCCTGGCAAGCGCAAGGGCCTGAGTTCAAGCTCCGGTTCTGGAGAAAAAAAAAAGCGCTTTTAAGTTGAGTCCGGTTTTTGATTTTTGGGTTACAACACTGGGTAGGAAGCACTGGAACGAGTGGGGTCAGCTCTCCTGGTATTTGCAGTCAAGTGAGGCAGAAGGCAGTGGATGGAGGCAGCAACAAGCACAGGGGCCAGGAGCCTGGTGGGCCTGTCAGCCAGCCTCTGGGATATACTGACCCTCTGGCTGGGTGTGGGGGTACAGGACATGACCCCAGCACTCACGGCTGGTGCAGGAGGACCAGGAATTTGAGCCCAGTCTGGGCAACTCAGCAAGACCCTGATTCAAAATTCTAAAACATTTTAAAGGGAGTGGGGTGGGGCCTTGAGCTCAGTCCTCATTACCACCAAGAACAAAAACAAACAAAGACACAAATCTTCCTCTTCTTTCCCTTGATCTGAAGGACTGAAGGACAGGGACATGATGAGAGTTACTGTGTGGCCCAAGGGCACAATGGGACCAATGGGAAGCAGCATGGACCCTGGCTCAGTTTGTCCACACGTATCATTCACTGCCAAGGTGAAGCTCTAGAGGCTGGGAGCATCCAGGAGGCAGAGATCCCCACCTGAACACAGCCTTCTTGGCAGTGCTCTTGGCCTTCAAACAGGGGCAGAGGAAACTCCTCAAAGATCTCCTCTTGCCGGGCATGGTGGCACATGCTTGTAATACCAGCACTCACAAGACTGAGGCAGGAAGATGGTGTGAGTTTGAGACCATCGTGGGCTACAAACTGACCTCAAGTCCAGCCTGAGCTGCACAGTGAGATCCTGTCTCAAAAAGGCAAAACAAATACAAAAACAAACTCCTCTCCCTACCCTAGAAGAAATTCTTGTACACCTCTCTCTCCTCCAGACACAGGAATGAGATCCGAGCTCTGAGCTTGGAGCAGCCTAGACCCTCCCGAGGCCTCTGATCCATGTGGCCACACCTGGCCAGTGACCTCCCTTAGAGGAAGTCAGGCCAAGTTCTGGGGCAGCTGCTGTGCCACGAACCTCCAGGTGAGTTTAAGCCTAGGCTAAACACCTCGTTGTTGTGCAAGGACACCTGCACGGCCTGTTCTGCCAAGCTGGAAGTAAGCTTTCACTGTTTTCTGTATTTCACCAGGAAAACTGAAAGAGCAGTGGCTCAGGGATGAAGGCAGGGCCAGGGTGGGTGCTCAGCAGCACAGCACCTGCCTGGCGAGCACAAGGTCGAGGCCAGGTCCCATCTCCAAAGGAGATGAAGGCAACCCTCCCTGCTGGGCTGAGGGCACAGCTCAGCAGCAGAATGCTTGCTGGACATGTACATGGCTCTGGGTTCAATCCCAGCTCGCTGCCAAGGGAGGAGAGGAAAGGAGAGAGGGAGGGAGGGAAGAAAGCTTCTTTGCTTCCGCTAAAAATTACTGTTAGAATTTGAGAGAAAAATAACACAGGTGTATATGAATACTACATCTGACCTTAGCATGGGGCCTGGAGCATGGCATATAGCCAGTAAACGTTAGCTGAATTGGAAGGATTAGGCATACAACAAAGGTCTGTTGTTTTTTTTTTTTTTAATGAACAATTTTAAAAGGAAAAGAAACCTCTTGTTAAAAGCAGCCAGGTATGGTGGTGCATGCTTGTAATCTCAGCACTTAGCAGGCTGAAGCAGGAGGATCATCATGAGTTTGAGGCCAGCCTGGGATACATAAGCAAGTTCAAGACCAGGCTGAACTGTATAGCAAGACCCTGCCGAAAGAAAGAAAGAAAGAAAGAAAGAAAGAAAGAAAGAAAGAAAGAAAGAAAGAAAGAAAGAAAGAAAGAAAGAAAGAAAGAGGAGAGGGGAAGGAGAGAAAGGGGAGGGGAGGGAAAAGAGAAGTAAAAAGTATCCTCTGATGTAATACTGCAGGGGGCCTGCCCCTTAGCTCAGTTCTTGAAGTGGCTGCTTCAACAAAGCAGTCAGGCTCAGGTTGCTGTGGTTCCATCCCCAGAACTCAAGCCAGCCAAACCTGCCCTGAAGGCATTCGGAGCAAAAAAACAAAACAACAACAAAAAAAAATCCTTCGAAATAATACTGCAGGAGGATTGTCTCGAATTCAAGGCCAGCCTGGGTTATATAGTTAGTTCAGA